AAGAAAGGTCTGGGGATGGAGTCAAAAGCTCGTTTAAATCAATGAACAATTGCAAACCACCACATACTGGCAATGGGCGTGCGCCCGCCACAATCACACACACGCTGCAATTGCAGCGTCCGGCGAACTTGGGCGCAGTGTCCAGCCACTCTCGCAATGGCATCACCAGTTCCACGATTCTGCACACAGGCCCATTGAGGAAACTTGCAAAGTTCATCAGAGGCTAGCTGTCGAAGAGTGATGGCCAGCGCAGTCATGACACACTTACCGATGGGCTCCTGAAGAGCCAACGGATTCTCTGGCACCGTGGCAGGCCTGCTAGGTTTCGTGAGCCAAACAAGCCAGCTGTTCTTCCAAGCAGGTGGAACAAAGGGGGGGCCGTTGTCCCCACCAATGTTGTAGAATTTCTAAAACCTGCGGAGCAAGAACATGTGCAAAAGGGGCAAAGGAGTCCCCCGTGGCATATGAGACCATTCAAGCGGGCTAATGACCTGCTCAAACAGTTGGCATGCGAATGGCATTTGCTCGGCTGCAAGACTGGGTTTGTCGCACGAATTGTGTGAGAGCGGTGTGAGACTCTAGTGGCCCAAGCTGCATACTATGGGCGCCACGAAGTTGGATGCGTTTGCGCGCAGTCTTGGGGGGGAAGTCTATTGATATGCTATCGTGCAGGCGGCAGCTTGGGCCTGCATCATGGCTCGAACATGTTGGCGCCATTCCTTGGCATGGGCGGGCTAATTTACGAAACTCTGTGTACAGGCGCCGCGATCGAAAAATGGCAACTTGAGAGCGGTCCGTGTGAGCTTTAAATACTCTCCACGCATGCCATTTCTATTGAGTAGAGGACTCCATGTGGAGCCATGCAGGGCTACGGCTTCCGGTGGGAAGTGTTGGTCAAACAAGCATCGAATCTGAGTATGCTTGTGTGTGAGGTGGTCTGGCTCTCGAGCAGAGGCGTCAAGGCCTGGGCATAGTGCTGCCAGCTCGGGACGGCATCAGCTTTGGCATGGTGACATTGCTCACGGTGGTTCAAGGTCACAGTCGGCCGTTTGTGCGTGCAACGACGAGGCCAATGCAGGAGAATCGAACTGATGACGGGAACATGAAACGTCGCGCAGTCAGCTAACAAGGGGCATTTGATGGGAAAGAAACTCCTTGGCTTGTTTATCAACACTAATCCCCCGGGTGAAGACATAGTCAATTTTGGATGTAGTTTGGCCATTAGTAAAGCTACCACACGGTGCTTGGCTAGCTGAACGAACGCTCCACTGTCCGGACGGGCCTCAGCGGCAGGGATGGCAATTGAAGTCACCCAGGCACAGGAGCAAGTTGCGGTTGTCCCAAATGTCTGTCTCTGCTGCAGGGGTGTGTGAAGAAGCTCCGGCATATTGATACACAGCCATAAGGTCTGTGGGACGTGGGTCAACATCACAAGGGCCAGGCCGCCGGGATGCAGGTGCGCGCGTGCAATTTTGCAAAACCGTTTGCGGGGCATGATTAGAATGCCTGCCTGCGTGTGTACTATCGGTGGAACCGAAGTGAAGGCATGTCCAGTCACGTACCGACCATTCCAGCTCTGGTCTCCAGTGGCACTCAGTGAGCACCACAACATCAAGGGCCATGTACACCCCAGCACCGAATTTCGTCAAGGGGCGCCGGGCTAAGTCCTCCACAGTTCCACTTGCAAAATCTGAGTCTCCGTTGAGGAGTGCATGACTGGAGTGGTACTTGTACGGGAAAGTCTTTGGGTTGGTCCTGAGCCGTCCAGTTTGGTTGTTCCAAGCTCATCAAAGTATGAGTCCGGCCACGATATGAACTTGGTTATAGGCTTTACGAAATGCTTTTTCCGGGTGGATCTAACAGGGTCCTGCTGAAATCTTTCGCCAGATGAGTAGGCAGGCTCATACTGTGGTCCAGCACCACAGTAAATGTCAGGCCACTGACCTTGGTTTGGTGGATCGAAATGTAGAGCAAGGGGTGGATCAAGGCGCCTTCCAGGATGGTCAGGGCAAAGGTCACAATGATGTCAATGACTGAGGAGGCGTGTGAGGATTCCGTGGGAGGTGGTCAGGAAAAGGGGTCCTCCAGCATGAGGGACAGCAGAATGGTGGGCAAAGAACCTGCAATCGAGGAAGGTCAGGATCGTGCTGCCCACTCAACACCCTGCAGGGCATGTGGGTTGAGCACTAGTGGCCCTTGATGGATGGACGGAAGATGGAAGATGGAAGATGGAAGATGGATGGATGGATGGGTGGGTGGATGGGTGGGTTGGGTGGTGGGTGGATAGGTGCATGGGCGGATGGCTGGCCGGCTGCCTGCACGCAGGAGATGGATGGATGGATTGTCTTTTTCTGGGGGTCCTCTTCTCCCCCTTCTTCTCCTGCTTGCGGAAAGAATTCACACCGCAGAGGTCGGAGCGGAGGAGAGGCCACGCTCAAGCGGTGGGCTCTCAGAGGCGCCTGCCGCTGCCTTTGCCAAAGAAGGTGTCCAAACACGAGCAGCACAACGCGCTCTGCATTGCTGCCTCAAGAGTTGGTGAGAATATGAGCCGTCCTTGCGCATCTTGCAGTAGGTGGGACTGGTGACCTTCACGCGGCTCGGCATAAGCTGCTGGTTCGCCAGAAGCGAACTTCTGGTCAACCCTCGCGCCACAAATGCGCACCCGACCGATGAGTCCATTTGTGGCCGGCTTCCGCGTTGGGCTGTTGGAAGCTCTCGTAAGTAAGCTGCTTCCTTGCCTGAGGCTGAGGCCTCAGTGTCGCGCACGCAGCTGAAGTCACCCTACGCACAAAAGCACGTGTCTTTTGATCAAGGGCATCCCAAATGGGATTGTCGAGCCGAGAGCAATTCTGGTGTAGCTCTGGCAACCATGCAACTATGAGTGGGGCGAGGCTCAACATAAAGTCGAGTATGTGCAAGTCGACCCTCTCATAGACTTGGGCGGTGGCAATGGACTGGGGTTGACAATTTTGTTTATTAATCATTACAAGAATGCCTGCATGGGTGGAAGAAGGGCGTCCAAAGCTTGCGTAATGCCAGTGCCTGTCACTCCAGTCCCGATCGGTGCGCCAGCGGCTCTCCGTGAGAACTACCACATCCAGGCTGGAGCGGATTTCATCCATGCGTGAAGCTCCACAGTTCCAAAGGCAGTGTTTCAACGGTCTGGTGGGGGATGGAACTGAATGACATGGTGATTGTTGGTTCGAAGAGTCTGCTGGTCAGGGGTGGCCGGCGCTCGAGTCCTAAGCTCTGCAACGTGTGCGGAATCCTTTTGTACATTGCTGGATCGCACGCCTTACGAAATGAGCGGTTTCTGAGAAAGGATGTTCGAGGGTCCTGCTGGTCAGTTCCGTTCCGGCGCGGCAGTCCCGGATCAAAGCGGAGTGTGAGCTCCTGCGTGCCAGCACTGCAACAACCCTAGGGCCACCAAGAGGCAGCGTCAGCAGGTGGAGGGCCCATGTGGTAGATGGCGTAAAGAATCAAAAGCCCCCTCTTGGCCAGGGATTTGGGACCCTGGCTCGAGGGAGCACTGGTTGTGGAGCAGGATCAGAATCACAAAGGCCACAAGAATCTCGAAGACAGTGAGGTAGGGCGGTAGTCGAAAGTGTTCTGGACAAAGGCGGATGAACACGCGGTGGGAGAGGCGGTGTACTTCTCCAGAAGCATGGGGTGAGGTAACATGGTGCCGCACTGCCCTCTCAGCAACGGTGGCGTGAGGGTTGAGCACTAGTGGCCCTTTGTGAGAAGCAAGTCTCCCGTTGGAGACATATCTGTTGTCGCACTGATAAGAACAAGTACTACACTTGATCATAGCCAAAAGGCTGAGAAGGTATCGATTGGTGGATGGATGGACTATGGGTGGATGGGTGGATGGGTGGATGCGTGGATGGGTGGCTGGGTGGCTGGCTGGCTGGCTGGCTGGAAGGAAGGAAGGAAGGATGGATGGATGGATGGACGGATGGATGGATGGACCTGTGTAGTAGACAACGAGTTTGCATCCAATCAAAACTGTTTTGGATATAGTCGTTTCCTCTATAGGTGAACTCCAATGATGATGTGGTGGATGGTCTTGCTTCATCATATGGGTAAAGGCCTTGTGCTGGCAGTCTCCGTCTCAATGCGACGTGAATACGTACATTTTCACAAAATAAGTGAATGCAACCAAGCAAAAAGCACGATCATGGTCTGGCGTAAAAATCAAGCTTCAACACTCCACATTCCTACTATGTTTCCCGGGCAAGTCTTCCGAACAAAATGTAGCTATTGCATTTCGTCTCAAGCAACATAGCAAGTCTTCACAAAGCTCAGCGCTCCACACAGAGTCTGCAGGCACTAGGCAGCGATATGGAACCTAACTTTCTGCAGGAGGTTTCTACAACTTCCGTTGCTGTCCAGAAAAATTGTGTCAGAATAGGCAAAAAAAAACAGCAACCAGAATAAACAAAAAAAACAATTTCCTAGCTTTAGCCTTGATCATGCAAATGTTGCCCTCCAGCCTCCATGGCGTCTGGTCCGCAGGTTGATGCAAGAGATGAAGCTTCAACCCAGTTAACCACACGCTGATGAAGCTTGTGGTTGAAAAGAGTGAATGCGCTATGCTCACTAGCACAAGTTCTTTGGGCATATGTCTGCTGCAGGCCCACTACAATGGCCACAGCAATTCCAGCAGAGAATTGTGAGCCTCACCACTAATATATATGTCAAGTGAGCTACACTTCAGGTTGCTTTGATGACAGGAAACACGAACCAGTCAAGAGAAGCAATCAATTCTTGCAAGGGGTTTAAGTTGTGCAGTTTTAAGCAGAAATAATACCCAAGCCGTCTGATTTCGGCAGTTCATTGCTTGCATAATTTTCTTGGTTCAGTAAGGGCCCGCTGGCCATGGAGACCTGTGAGCCTAGACCACTTGCAGAATCAGACCACCAATCGACATCTCCAAAAACACAAGTTGCTGAAGGAGCTTCGAAACATTCCTGTCCCTTGCTTGCCTGGCTGCTCACTTTTCTTTGACGCCTTCAACTCACATCTGCTTCAGTTCTTCTCCTGTGCCAATGGGGACACCGGGGCCTGAAACACAATCACAAAAATATCCGATGGGTATAGTAGGCTAGCTAGATATTGAGCAAGAGGCAAGTTGATCATTGGCGTTGAAATATTGCATCCACCTACAGTATATAGGTGTCCCTCTTTTGTCATCAAAGTCTAGTTTCTTTAGACCATTAACTTCACGATTTTGTGACGAGTCCCTGCGATTTTGCACATGGGACGGCGTTCGTTGTCGACAAAAGCACATCAACACGAAGGTTATTGCCACAATTGCCCGGTTCTAGCTGGAGAACAGGCTCTGCGATTTCACATCATATCAACAGTTCATCCTTGAAGTGTCGAAACTGACATGTCAGGGGTGTGTGTGTGTGTGTCCACCTCTGTATCTAAGAGTTTTGTCCACCCAGAAGTTTCGAGCAGGGGCGTCAGGCTCGACACATCTACCTGACGCAACGAAGCTATGATGTGTCGAGGGAAGTGAGAGCTGATCACTCTCATGTACCTGCCTTTTCAACTGTTGAACACGCTGTCCAATTCTTGATTTTTGCTTCCATGGTGGTTGGCATGATTTTCCCCAAAACCTTTTACCCACCGCTGACCTACAGCCGATTTGCAGCCGCGCTGAGTGTCAGATCGTTTTCGAGTGCAATTGCGAACAATGTTAAACCATACTGTTCTCGCCGACCTGTTCACCTTGCGGTTCTCTTACCTTCTTGAACCTGGGAACTGAGTTAACTGCAGACCCAATGTCAGAGTGTGTGCCGCTCTGCCGTCCCACTTGGGTGCAGGGTGTGATCCCCGTCACTGGGCCGCTGTCTTCACTCCGGATTACCGTTTAACTGATTCAGCGGATTCTCTTCACGGACTTACTTCTCACCACTGCATTCCCAAAAACCTACGCCGCCGGGCTCCACGGATTACCCACTGGCTTGATCCACTTTCATGACTGCATGTTCGCGTTTTCGCGGCCAGTTCTTGATTTCAAGCTTGTACAGGACCATTTTATCCACCGTAACACTTTACACTTCTCCAGCTCCTTCCACACTACCCACTTTATCCTTGCATCTTCCTGCATTGTTTAATTCGACGTTTGCTTTGAGTCTTACCACATACTTCAGTATCTTCAACCTTGCAGCTGCTTGCGCCGCCGTGATCGCCATTTTCAGCAGCTGCCTTTTGCTTGGTGTCTTGCAGACGACTGAGACACGGTTTTCACGAAATGCAGTTTCCATGGCCATTTCCTTGCGCGCCACCCCAACCACCTCCCAACCACCCATTTCCGATGCTGCCGACTCCGCGTCCAATACAACCACAGCCTACACATTACCCTCCAGCACCCACGCTACTACCACCAGCATGGCCTACTCCGCATCCTCAAGCAGCTCCACCATCATGTCAGCCAGCTTTCCCTCGTTATCCCACAACACTACCGATGTATGCGACAACCGCGGACGCGAACATCGCGTGCGACAATCAACTCGGAGCGTGATCGTTCCCGGGGCTCCCGTGACCGTCGACCACATGATTCAGAACGTCGACATTCAGATCGTCGACACCCTCCCACGCAGACGCGACCGTCATGACACCAGGACTTCCTCCTCGACCGACCACGCCTCCACAGGCTTTCACCGATACTATACCACCCCACCACCAGCCACCCTCTCCAATGCTGACGCTGAAGAACTTCGTCACCTACGTCAACAAGTTCAACAACAACACCCACCCAACCTGCCCTCCACCCCGCCCAACAGCAATTTCCCAATCCCTCCACCCAATGCACGCCCTCCCACCTCTCAGGCCTCACTACCTCTTCTACGGGCACACGACTTCCAAACCCACTATAACACACCCATCCCACGAGAACCAGGACCTCTCCATTTCCTTGTTTCCACGACGCCCTCTGGCACTACCAGATGACCAATTAAGCAAACCCGGCTCGTCCCTCCCCGTCACACCACCCGATCTGGAACATTCGTTGGGAGTCCTGCAGTACCAGCTTCCAAACTTTGGAAGAGAATGGCAACATCCTCTCGCTTTCCGGAACTTCGCCTCAGCCCTGGTCCTCAGCAACATGTGTGGACCACCCCATTCTGGCTTGGGAACAACTACTCCGACTTATCGGGCGTCATCGTCAAGCTTTGGTTGGTGATCGCAATCGTCCACTGCGTGGGAAGAATGTCCGGCGCCGCCCTCCTTGCCTCGAGGGCGCTGCTCAGTGGAACAACCACATGAAACAGTACTTGCAATTAACACCTCTCCCAAGTTTCAGGGATCATGGATCGGCGCCCGCTCTTCGCGTTCGGCAAGTTATACCCCGACGCAATTCCCTCATTTTGCTCCTCGGGCAAGAAGTTGTTGTTGCTCTTCGTACAGGGCTTGCTCCCATCGTTCACAGGCATCCCACACGGGAAGACTGGGGATAGCCCCCAAGACAAGTTGCCAGCCACGGGTGTACCACACGCGATAGTGATAGCCCGACCAACTCGTGTAGGGATGTTGATCAAGAAAGAAGCCGTTGGTGTGCTTGTAGTAGTCCACATCTGTGTGGTCCCAGGCGATCGTTTTTTCGTGGAACCATGTGCTAGAACCAATTCAATGTTTGACCCTCGCCAAGACCACGACAGGTCCATTCTTCATGGGGAGGAGCGGAGAAGAATTGTCCATGATTGCGAGCGTGCAAGCGGTCAACGTAGTCCATGTTGTATTGGTTCTCAACCCGAGGAAGACTGGGAAGGACTGTGGGATCAAATGGAGGTGAGTCCACAGGGCCCATACTCGTAGAACACCTCCGGGACCAACGGGTAGCAAAAGTTTAGTGCATAACTGGGCATCTTAGTCGCTCAAGATTAGTACATCACCAAGTGGAGTCGGGTCCAATGGAGATGGGGTATCAGGGGTATCCATGGCCTCGGCAATGTCGTTGGCGGCCGTGCTGTCAGTGTCTTCCATGGAAGTTGACATCAACTCGACGTCGAATGGGATGGTACGATCGAGAGGTGCGACGTATACGGCGCCCACGAAAGATCCGTTGAAGCCGTTCGTGTTGGTGCTGGGAGACACTCAGTACCGGATCATCACTGAGGTCGAGGCCCTGGAGAGCGGCGTAGCGGAAAACGAGGAACTCGATCATGGAGATCATCCGTGGGTGGGCGACGAAGTTGAAGAACCCAGCAATGTCCTGTTTGTACAAGCAAGTCGTCAGTGGTGTCCAAGTTCTGAAAAAGCCGCCAAAGGTGACGTAGAAGTTGGTGGACATCCGAGAGATCAGTGAGGTCAGGAAAGGCCACCTGAAGCAAGCAGAAGATGGCAGAGGCCACCGTCTGGCTAAGGGGGGCGCTCACAGTCTGGGTGTAGGACACGATGGGACGTGCTTTGCTCCAATCGCGGGAAGGTTTGGGCAGAATGTAGGCTGAAGGCAGCCGTCGAATCCCAGCGTAGGCCCCATCGATACCGCTGTAGAAGAGCTCCCGGAGGCCAGAGTTCTCGAAGTCGAGTTTTGATCAACAGGATACCATAAAAAACGGGTTGTGGTCGGGGATGGGAGAAAGGTTTTCCGTAGTAGGTGGCGGTAGTGAAGGGGGCAAGAGAGAAAGTGGTCACCAGGTCCGACGATGAAGTGTTTGGTGTAGCAACGAATGGCTTGAAGTTCGGGATGTCCAGCCCGAGCGCGACCCCGAGAAGGAATCTCTCATGTAGCTGCCATTGTCGTCGGAAGAAGTCTTGCCATTCAATCTGGAGGTGAGAGGGCAGGTAAGCCATTTGTCAAGTTGAGTGGCTGAGTGATTCAAAAAGCGACGTTCATCAGGCCAAACGGTGTCTTGAAGATTGGCCTCAGAAAGCCTGGGGCCGGGGACGATGTCCGAGGCAAAGCCAATGACGTGACCAGATCAGTTCTGGATGTCGGCGGAAGTCAGCTCGAACTGAGTGGCAGGCACAACGGGGCGACGTGTCAGGTTCCCAACGTCGGAGAAACTGGCGGAAGTTAAACGCGTACTGCTCCAGAGTGTGGGCCTTGACCTCACTGATGGGAGATGCAGGTTCTTGGAGAGGTGGAAAAAGGTGGGAGTGGTCTTGTAGAAAACCGCGAAGAAAGTAGCGAGTGTGTTGAAGGAAGTCATTTGAAAGTTGAAAAAGTCGGAGGGTGGAATCATCAACTTGCGAAAGCGAAAGATCAACTTCAGCTGGGCGGAGGCTCGGGATCGCCAGGGTTCGTCAATGTCGAAATGTTGAGACCAAAGGAGGTAGAGAACGTCGATGAGGCTGCATGACTGCGAAGAGTCTGCTTGGTGTCACTCCCAAGGCGGTGGAGTAAAGCGAAGAACATCCGAAGCACGAAGAAGGTGAAGATCCAAGAGACATTCTTGAGCATGATGACGTTCTCGGCGACGTTGATGTCGACGTAGGCGAGTGATCCCAATGGGGCCCGTGCGGGAGGCGGGGATGCTGTATTGAGGTCGTTGAAGGCCATAGCGTCAAAGTAGGGGGTTGATCCATGGGTGATTGAGTTGGGGATGGTGAAGGTGTTGGAAGGAAACTTCAGTGGATCGAGTGGTCAGGGTGTCGGCGCAGAACTCCAGGGGGATGACGGTGTAGTCTGGTAGAAGGTGCGTGCGCGGTGCCAAACCCGAAGAGCAGGTTTGTAGCAGGCGGTGATGCCACTGCAAAGTTGGCGGTGCTTGCGTAGCTGGGACATCTCGCGATCAAACAGGGTGTGGATGGAGCTGCCAATGTAGAAGGCAACACGGTGGGGGTGGAAACGTAGGTAAATGACATTAGGGTGGAGGTAGTCAGTGAGGTAGAGTTGTTGGTTGGGGCGTAGTCGATGCAAAAGAGGGAGAAGATTGGTACGGCGTAGTCCAGCCAGCAAAGTGCGAAAAAGGTTCAGGCGGCAAAGTTGACCTTTGATAAAGACCAAAGGGCGGCGCTCCAAGTAGGAAAGGTCACAAAGCGATTCAATGTAGCTGAAGAAGTCCAAAAGACACTAAGACCATGAACAGAAAGGGGTGGAATTGTAGTAGGGA